ACCTCTGTACATGAGCAGATATACAGTCCTGGATCTGGTGAACAATAACTGATGTTATTATTTGAATAGAACAACAATAAGGTGATAATATACAGTGGAGAGATATTGTGATATATCTCAAATCAATGATAAAATGAATTTACAAATACAAACATACTTGTAAGTTTCTTTTTCAAACAGCTGTTCAACCTGCAACATTCAACAGAAACAGACCAAACAATGTAAATGAACTTCTGTTCAATGTTTGATATTTCTGTTGGTGTGTTTTAAATGTGTGCCATCATAATGGAATGGATGAAGTAACCTTACCTTCCTGACGTAAGTATCACTACACTCATACCAGGTTTCATCCTCATCGGACAGGATGGTGGCTGTGTAATGTCCACCTGTTAGACTGCCCATGTGTTTCACCATCCCATACAGTTTGTACGTTTGATTCTACGATGAAGAACACAGTCGGGTACATGGAAATATTTGGAAAACATTTAAAGGGAACACCACTGAAACATAAATCACATATAAAACATTCATTATTGTTACCTTTCTCTTTAATTCAAGAGGTACATCCACACAGCAGTCTGATTTGAAATGTGACATCCTCCTGTAGTCAAAGTCAAATCTCTTCAGAAGTACTGTCAAAATTGGAGGATATTTCTCCATCTCACATTCCTAAATAACACAAGAAACATTATCAAACACTAAATCCTTTAATCTCAGTATTCTAAATTAATATACAGTGTTTTTATTGGATCCCAGTATAAACTTTGAACTTCCTACAGTTTTTCAGAACTCACCTTTGTTGCCTCTGTTTTGTAGTTACATTCGTTGCAGTGAACTTTGTTGTCTCCATTAAATATTTTTGTCTGGAAAATCCTTTCAAAGCTTCTTTCCTGTAAAAACACAAATGTAATAATAATATTAGAGCAGCATGACCAGATTAAAATACTAAACTAGAGCTCTGAGCTTTGTCTGCTCACCACACTGTAGGTTGTATCATGGTTATCTTTCAGAGACAGTGGAAGAGACAGTGGAAGAGTCCAGAATAAACTTGTCTCTTTATTGATGATGTGGCCTTCAGAGCATTTTGTTGTATACATCAGATGTCCTTGTATTTCCTTAAAATAGAAATATCACTTATGACTCAGCAGTCAGATTTCTTCTCCTGTAAATAACATTGTAGATTTTATAAGTACTCACCTTAGAGTCTTGTTGGCTGATCTTATTTAAAATCAACTCCAGGCATTCAGCAGCATCACCTTGCTCATAAACTGCAAAAGGATGCATTAAACCGTATCTGATATATTAATCATCAAAGCATCTTTAATTGACCACTGATATGTGACTTTCTGTCCAATTTACCATTTTAATCTTCAAAATCCTTGTGATATTTTCTGTTCCACATGTTCTTTTCTTCAGGCCAGCAAAGACTCTGTTCAGCTCTGTCTCTAATTCTGAATGAAACCTTTAGGGAGAGATTAGTTTTTCAGTGAATAGTTACTGTTTACTGTTTGTCTGCTTATATGTTCACTGATGAAGTTTTGTAAGTCAGCCATATACACCCAATTAAATCATTTTATCATTCAGTATTTCCTGTTAATATTCTACACAATGTTTTTGTCACATATAAATTCTCCTGGTACTTATATTAACTACAGATGAAAGCAGCTGTTTCAAACCTGTCATGGACCTCTGGAGTCATGAAGAGAACTTGCAGAACACTGTTGAGGTAACATGTGGCTCCCTGGTTATACAGACCATAATGAACTCTCTGTGGCTGAATTGCTGAAAGGAAAGAAAAAACACAGTGTAATTACACCATCTCCATTTATTTATCATTAAAGATTATTTAGTTGGTAGCAAACAGGGTCATAAAAATGAATATTCTGATTTATAGTGGATGGATTGCTGGTGGGTGAAATAGGGTGAAGTGTCTTTCATACAGTGAAACTGTTTGCAGAGTCATCCTGATAAAGCATGTTTTCCTCTGTTCTGTCAAGTTTATAACTAAGTTTTGCATGTAAACATTTCTGATTACTGAAAGCAGCCTCTCTAATCATTAAAGTAAATCGTTAAAGAAAGCATTCATACATCAGTACAACGGAGTACGTCTCCGTTCTGGTTGGTCTCAACAGGTATGTGACAGAAAGGTTATATATTCAGCATTGATCTGTCAGCATCAGTATCAGTAAGAATTAAATATTAGGCCAGATGTTCTTATTACCTCTTTGTTTCTGCTTCACTGTGTTTGTCTTTTACTGGAGCGTTTCTGTTTTCCAACATTTACAGGAGCATCATCTATGCTTTTAGATTTTCCTGTACTTCTTCATCTTCACTGTTTAGCAATTTTTGTTTTTCACAGTCCTCGTCACTGTTTGTGTTTCTGTAATAACTTGTTTCTCTGACTGATGTGTCTTTCTTTACACTTTCTTCATCACCCTCCTCTCCTCCAGCCTGAAGACTGAGTGTATCTTTCTCCTGATCTTTCCCATCTGTCCATCATCTTCTTCACTATGTCCAATCTGTGTGTTTTCTTCATCATCAGTGTCTCTTTGCTGACATTTTCGTTTTCCAGTTCCTCTCCTTTCTGTTCTTCCAGACCAATATCTTCACCCTGTTCTTCTTTCACCTTGTCTGTCAGATCTTCTGAATTGGTTTCAGCAGGTTTCTGACACTCTGTGGATTTGAAGTAGAAATAAAGTAAAATATTCAGTAATCATCTGTTTCAGAGTCAGTATCAGTAAGAACAAAGTCTTTTCATGAATTACACCCTGAAAAAAGTCTATATGTCAACATACACACCCAACTAATATATCCTTGTAAAAAGATACTTTAGTATTGTTTGTGTAGTGTATAATTATGTATCTAAATGTACAAAAGAAATCACATAGAGCCAATGAAAGAGGTCATTTTTGTATGTTGCCATAGAAACACAGATTCATGCATGTTCTTCTTATTACCTGTTTGTTTCTGCTTCTCTGTCTTTGTCTCTTTATCCAGATGTTGGTCACTGGAGTGTTTCACCTGTTCTTCAACATTTACAGGAGCATCATCTACTTTAGTTTCCTTCAACTCTTCAGACTTGTCATTTGTGTTTTCTTCTGTGCTGCTGGAACGTGTACTGTCTTCATTCATGAACAGAGTTTCCTGTACTTCTTTATCTCCAGTTTTTACTTTGCTCAGTGTTGCACATTTGACACCAGTGTTGATGTTTCTGTCATTAATTGTTTCTCTGACTGATGTGTCTTCATTTACACTTTCTGTCTCACCCTCCTCTTCTTAGCCTGAAGACTGAGTGTATCTCTCTCCTGATCTTTTCTCATCTCTCCCTCATCTTCTTCACTGATACTTTCTTCTTCCTTCCTGGTGAGTTGTTCTTCACCCAGTTTGTCCACGTTACTGGTTTCATGTCGTTCAGCTGCATCGTCTGTCAGACCTTCTGAAGTGGTCACACAGGGCTTCTTAGCAGCTGTGGGTTGAAATGTGTTTATTCAGTAATACATTCAGTTAAAATCTGTTTCAGAAAGGTTGGCATTACTTTGGATGAACATCTTACAGATGTATGTTGTGATGGATGTATAAGGTCAAATTACTCTTATTGAGCAAAAAGCTACTTTATAGAGTTGGTCATCTTTTGCTTCTATTTATGTTAATTTTGTTTTATAAACATCTGCAACACCTTGTTCAGCCACATCTGCGTCTCTGTTACCTGTTTGTTCCTCCTCGTCTGCCTTTGTGATCTCATCTCGGCATCTTTTCCTGGGGTTAGAATCTTCTTCATCTCCCATCTTTCTTCCAACTTGTTTATGTTTTCATGTGCGATGCTAAAACGGATACAGTGCCTTCATTAGCCTACACATATTTTTATCATTTCACACAATGTTGTCAATGATTGTCTCTCAATATTATTTATTTTATCCTCAATACGAATTTTATGACTCCTCCCTTCTGTTCACTGTCCATTAAAAAAAAAAAAGCATCTTGTAATAATGATAAACAATATCTTGTTTTCCAGGTAACAACAAACCTGACATTCATAGGAAAAATACATCCCCCATAATGCTGCACAGCGAGACTCTAAGTTAGAGGCGGAACTTCAAAGGAAGACAATTGAATACAACGTCATTATAAGATGAGATTTGTTTTGTAAAGATTTATTTTGTGGATTACTTTATTGTGTTTATTGAATTCTCGTAAGTTAATTAATGGCAACTACATATATAAACATATCGGTATTCTGTTCTACAATGTAGATAAGGAACTACATAAGGTGCTCGTTACCTGTAATGTCACTGATTGGCGGAGTGATATGATGTAAGGTAGTGTTCAGTTGTCCGACTGTTGAAGCGGACATTAAAGTGGATCAAGTATCACAGATAGAGTTGTCCTCTTGCTTTACCCACGACCCAAAGCTAGTTGTAATACAGTAACTATCAAGGTTGTAGTTAACGCTGCGAGTAACCAGCGTTACAATATTCAGAGAGTAACTAAAACGCCTCACAGTACAAACTTTAAAAGTTACAACATAGTATCATACAATAAACAGTTTAGAAGTGAAACCCTCCGTTAATCTCTATCCAGATGCAAACTGAAAGCAACCTCATGCGCCTGTACCACAGCAACATCAATCAACATATTCACATGGAAATACAAGATTATAAAATATGACTCCTTTTACTCCGAGCCTGTCTATGAGGTTGTATTGCGGTGAAAGCCAACGTTAGAGATATATAGTGCTTACCTGGACTGCACCATCGGGTAATGAAAGCAGTAAGCTGTGTAACACTGTCTTACTTTCGTTTGTTTCACTGTCCGCTGTCAGCCTTCTCCTACTACAGAAAATAAAGCTCAGACAATAAAAGAGGCTCCGCCAATAAGTTTGATTGATCCTCTGATTTGATCATCTTCAAAACAATTTTTAAATTGATCTTAAAAGTCTATTATAGGGGGTTTCTTTAGTTTTCCATTGTATTCTTTTCTGCTTTAATTTCAGTCCTCTATCAGTAAGCGTATCACTGTGTACTGAAAGGCTAAATGTCATTATTTCTAAATACATATCTAAATATCTCAAACGAGGGACTTTCTGTTTCCTTATTAGTACTGCAGTTTAAACTTTCTTTCTCTTGTCTACAGAAAATCACATGACTTCGTTGACCTTTGTGTAACATTTAGGAGGATATATTGGCAGAAATGTTATATAATATTATAATATTCATGGGTGTGTTTTCTTTAGTGGGTAATCACCTAAAAACAGAGATAACAAAAGCTGCAGTTCCTCTTCCAGCCTCTTGGGGCTGGCGGCAGTAGTGAGTGATCTCCAGAAGATGCTCAACTTTACAGCAGAAATAAACATGTTTACAGCCTGGTACACAAACACTTTCGGTATCTAATAGCTAAATACTCTGTTTATGACATATGTAAGTTGTTTTATAACTCACCTGAGTCAATTTTCTTCACAAAGTAATAATATGAACTCTTTAAATCTTGCCCCTGACATTTACCCCCTATATTATAATGAACACTGAAAACAATTAAAAAAAAAAAAACTGAAACTGACTGAAACTAAACTGAATGGAAAACTAAATAAAAAGAAAAAATAACAATACTCTGATTGTCTCTTAGACAAAAAGTGAAACTACAGACCAACCTGAGGCTGTTTGTGCTCCTCTATGGGAATCCCGGGGAAAAACATTGTTTATACCTGATATAACTGTAGGAAAACACCGACACAAACCACGTGATCCTGTCTCTCTCTCAGCTGTAATTTCACTTTCACTTTAATTGAAAGCATTGTAGGTTTATTTATTCATTGCATTTCTGTTTTCCAGTGCTTGAAATATCTTATTATCTTTGTCTACTTGTTTTACTTGTGAGTGGAAATTATTTCCATAGCATCACTTTTGCATATTAGTGTAATTCCCTCATTTGTTTCATTCTATGTATCTGTTGCTCTCAGTATGCTCTGTGTGGGTGTGAATGAATCTGACTCTATCAAGTGGTTCAAATATTTGATTGTTCTTTATTTCATTTTACTTATGAGGGAGAATTGTCCAAGCTCTGCTTTGCAGCTGGGGTTTGGACAGTTTCTTTGGACTCTCAGTATGTTTCTCAGGTTGTACTCTCTACTCTTGTTTAATTAATATTCACCAAACTTCACTTCCATATAAAAGGACTGGTTCAGTATTGCTTTGGAAAATTTTAAGCCAAATCTTTATTGGGGGTTTAATTTGAATAGGACCTTTCTTACACTGTAATAAGCTGTGAGCTTTACAGAAGAAGTGACAGTGAGGCCTAGGTATGTATACTGTTTATTAATTATATAAATTTTAGTTTTATGCAGATTTATTCTCTCTCTATCTCTGAATCTGTGTTGCCTGTTTTGAGAAGATAAATAAGTTTAATCAATGCCCTTATACTGCCCACTCTTTCTATTGATTTCACTTTTATCAGCTGTTAAGTGACTCAGTGTCTCTGTGTGACTGAAGCCTGTGCCTCCCTGATAGTCTCTTGTTGTTCTTTAATCCTTACTTTTAAATTGCATTGCTTTAGCTTCATTTTGCATATGCTCACTATTTTTCACCCATTGTCACATTTTTTGTTATCATTAAAGTTTCATTATTAGCTGTGAGGAACAATATGAAGACGCCAAGTGAGACAAGTAGAATTTATAAAAGTTTATATGAAGATGATACATTTACATAAAAGAAACAGAATACAGATTTGTGGCATCGTATCCATATTCTTAACAGAAGATTTGATGTTGGCTTGACAACACAGTAGCTTGTAGTAGAAATGACAACACAGTAGCTTGTAGTAGAAATATAAAGAAAAAGGACACTCAGCAATGAATCAAAGTGAGTCCAGAGTTCTGTCCATCCAAGAGTAAAATTAATTTGCACTTATTCATGATTCAATGTTAAACTATACATGTAGATTCCCTAAAACATTACATAAAAAAGGATTGAGGATATATTGATTTGTTCATGCATGGTTCATGGTTTTCTTGAGACCCTGTGGGGTTTATTCTTCATCAGATGTGCCTCCGGACACTTTCAGCACTGTATGAACTGTGGACATGTGCTCGATCCCAGTGGATTCCAGAGTGGCCTCTTCCTCCACCAGCTTGGAGTTGAAGACCATCCGAAAGTCTTCATCTTAAAGCAGAAATAAATAGTTATAAAATGTTTAGTATCTTACACAGTAACCTAGGCTACATTTTTAAGTTTGGTTTTGATTTTGTTAGATGAAAAGATGGCTGAACTAAAAGGTTAACAGTAACACTAACAGTTACAAGACTGACAAAGGGTTAAAAAGAAGCAGCATTAGACTCTCTAAAGTCACATTGAAACAACTGAGGGTTAAAGGCAGGCACAGTGTTGTGGACAAACCTGGGTCCGCCCACTTGTACTGCACAATCCTAGAACATAGGCTGTTTTGTCTTAACTTTAATCTTTATAATTTAAAATTAACATTCAAATACAGAATGAAGACTAAGATTCCATTTCCAAGCAATAATTATTATATTACTATCATGTAGGCTAGTCAGTTTCAAGCTGTGAATGTATTTATCAGTTAATATCATAGCTGCAAAGAGACCAAGAACCTAGAAAACAATGTTAAAGAAGGAAGTTATAGCTAAAAAAAAATCCTGCCCTTTTTCTTTTTCATTTTCGATTTCAGCAGTATGCCTGTGCCGGTTGTAATAAATTATAACTTTCATTAAACATTTCATTAAAACATTCATGGGTAGGCCTACATAACAACATTGAAAACGTGTCATGAACAAGAAGTGCTAGCCCCCACAACACCTGTTCTTTCTGTTTTAAATACTTGAAAGGCCCATCCAAAATTAATATCCTGGCGCCTTGCCTGGGTAAAGGTTGAACCAAATTTGATAGAAATGTACCCAGAAGTCTTAACACTGTAGAATCACAAAACTTGAAGAACTCAAAAGAGTGCAAAATCCCATTAGCCTACTCACACACACAGTTTTTAATTTAAACTACAGGTGTCCAAACAGACAACTGGGACAGAAACAATCTCCTTAAGGATGTAAACGAAAGAGTACACTTACTTATCCACCGCTCTTTAATTTTCTCTTTAAATTGCCGTCCAGTGATGTTTTTCAGCTGATCTTTAGTGTTGCACAGCTCCATGATCTTTTCATTTCCAAAAGGTAGATGAACGTTGACTTGGATACACATTTTGGAGCTTGTTCAGTGAGTTCTTCAGATCTGTCTGTTCAGAAAGTGAAACGGTTGGTAGATAAATAGGCTATGTGATATCAGATGTTTTCTTTTTTTTACCTCCGTCACAAACTAAATCACATGACTCCTTGGAAATCCCCGCCCCATAAACCTGTTGTTTTATTTGAGTAAGTAGCCTACATTTTACATTTAGTCAAGATGAGCAGCAACATGACAACTGAACGGGAGAAGTGTTACGACCCTCAAGACAAAACACTTACATTTATCAATGGAGAGGATGATTTAGACTGTAAGTAGTCAAATGTCACATTATCTTGTCTTATGAATGTCATATGATCACCAAGCAAACATTTGCTTCTGCTATCTATGTTTTTACCTGCTACTTTTAAGTATTATAGCTCTCCTTGTTTATGTGTGCCTCACAGTTCTGTGTATTGGCTACAAGTCTCTGAGAGCAAAGATGTCCTGTGGTCATGCTGTCACTCCGATGTCTCTCACTGACTGGTGTCGCAGGTTGTTGGACAAGGTAGGCTGTTTACATCATAATGCAATATAAAATCTGTATAAGTGACTAAACTTCACTGACAATGTGCATAGTGGCAGCTTGTATAGTAAATTATATTATCTATAAAGGTTTTTGTTTATTTATGGTGGCTATGTTGTTGGTGCTATGGTTTTCTAACCCCACAGGTGATTTGTGAACTGCTAAATGAAAACTGATATCATTAATGCCTTCCTGGTGCAGGTGAGGAATGAATGATTGTAGCCACCCCCTCTTTTAAGATGGCTTCTCAGTATCATGTACCCTTTTACCTGATGAAGTTCTAGGACTGACATTTTGTAAATAAATGTTTTGCAAGTAAGACAGCGTGCAGGAATTTGTCTTTTGTACCTTTTTGATACTGTCCCACTCCTACGCACCTGCCTCACAAAGTAGATGTGAGGTATTTTTGTGTTTATTTTGAGCTTGTATATTAATAAAAAGTTTTGATTGTATTTATACATGTTATAACTTAAAGCAACCAGTTTAATTAGCAGTAAAACTGAGTTTAATTACATGAAAAACTTTTTTTTCTGATGTTGGTTTATTGTGTTGTGGACTTTCTGACTGTTTAAGGGGCACAAATAAAAAAAAAATAAAAACCAGTGCGCAAAAAGTTGTGAAGCATTTATGGTGAAACAGCTTAGTCTGGGTTAGGATTAGCACCATAGAGGGCACTTCATGTTGTTTTCTCCACTGAAAAGGCACCGTAGGACAGTGGTTCCCAACATGCGGGTCCGGACCACCACTAGGGGTCTTCAGAGCTTCATAGGGGATCGCCGGGTGTAAGAAAACTTTATATAAACAGAAGGTTCACTTCTGTAAAGAAATGTAAATGTTAAGTAAATTGTCTAGTAAATGGCAAAGTATCATAGACAAGAGAACAATGAATTTGTCAGAAAGCCTATAAAGTTTTTATGATTGATAAAAATTGTAATAAAAACACACAATACAGACAGAGAACTGTATCAAAAGTTCCCTAAACAGGACATAATCTGCTCAAAATTCCTTCAAATCACTTCTTTTACACAAACTTCTCAGTCACTATTTGAGTTTAATTGCACAGTTTTTAATATAAAATATCCATAAAATATTTCACTTAAGCAGGGACAATCAGTTTACTAAATGACAGAAAAGGGGTCCATTAAGGAAAAAGGTTGGGATCCTCTGCTCTAGAAGCCACCAGTGAATAGCAGTGAACCATATCAGCAGTAGCAGGCTGAAGAATTGTATTCACTCTTTTTCTTTGATTTTCTCTTTAATATCTAAGGGTGAGTGCAGATTTGTGTGTGGTCAACCTCGCTGTGATGTTGAGTGGCCCTTTGAGGAGGTTTGTAAAATGGCTCTTCTAAGCCCTGAAGAAAAGAAGCACTTTGAACAGAAGATGTTCAGCAATGCTCATGACTTGAAACTTGTAAGTATCAATATTACACTATTTAATAACTGTTCTCTGAAATAAACCCCATCTCATTATGTTTTTCTTATAACTTCACTTCACAGTGTCCTGGTTGCAAGTCCTCTGTGGTGAGAACTGATCCCAGTGATCTGAGTATTGAATGCTCAGTGTGCACAGCTAACAAACAAAGGTCTTATAGATTCTGCTGGCAGTGTTTGAAGGAATGGAAAGGTCCGGCTCCACGTTCAGACCGCTGTGAAAACGATGGCTGCATTAATCAGCAACTAGAAACACTGAGAAACTCTCCAGTCATTGTCTTTAAGAAGGTGAAGGAGGTCACTGGCTGTCCCTCCATCCGTGCCTGTCCCACCTGTGGTTTGCTGCTGGAGCATAACAGAAAATACTGTAAAACCATCATCTGTCGCCGCTGTAAGGTGAAGTTCTGTTTTGTGTGCCTGAAGCTTACTGGAGTGTGCCGAAACCCATACGGTCTGTGCTCCACTGGGGTAGCACCTAGACAGACCTCTATACCTGTGTGGCAGAGGAAATAATGCTGTTGATTTAACACTGTGATCTCCTTTTTCTTAATTAAGCCGATCATAAATGAACTCCACACCAGTTTTAAATCACACTAAAGATCTCTTTTGAACTTGTACTTTGAATTTGGAACAATATCATCACAACATGAGAATTAGCTCTTTCTCTCCACAATTGAAGCATTAAGTAAGACCATTTCTACTTCAAACTCACTGTTTATTCTATTTTTGTATCATTTTGCTGGATGTTGCTTCTTCACTGTTCTCTCATTGTTAAAGCTTGTTGTCATCTTGATCTAATGTCTTTATTCAATCGGTTAACTTCACATTTCATTGTTTTATCATTATGGGTTTGTTTTTGTGTTTTTTTTTAACTAATCATTTGTTTTCCTAACATGAATTAAACCATTGTTGCTTTTCCTGTGAAATAAAGATAAATAAATATACATTATAAGTTTGAGTAAATTATTTCTATTTTAGCAGCACTTATAAAACACGCTGTAAGTCCGTCTAACTTCAGCATGTCATTGTCACATTAATTGTGATATAGTGTTGAATTCACACTGATAACAATGAGAACAATAAAATTATAGTGATGGAATCAGTATTCAGATAATTAACTTGTGTACAAGTAGAAATCAAGTAAAAGTCCTGCACTCAAAATGTGTAAAAGTATTAACAGCAAAATGTACTTCATGAAAAGTAAAAGTATTCATGCAGAATGGATCATTAATTACAGATACATCACACAAATGTAAATACTATTAAGATGTTGTGAGTTGGAGGTCATTTTAACTGCTTTATGGGTAGTTTAATCTATAACAATGCATCATATTTTATAAACATAGCTGTCAATGGAGTGAAATGTATATTTCTGTCTTAAATGTATTAAAGTAGAAGTATAACAGCAGAAAATGGAAATAGTTGCTATAAATTATGCAGAACCAGACTAAATGTATTAAGATAGTTTTCATCAGATACATTGTAAATATGGAGAAGAGACGGTTTAATTCTTTGCAGCACCACTGAATATAGATGTACAATAATACCTTAAAATAGCTCAGATACAGAGGTCAGTATGTACAGCAACAACTCTATTGGTTTACACTGAAAATATAGATAGAAAAGCTGTATTCTGAATAAATATATTATGGACTAAACTGTCTTTAACCTCACTGAAACCTGGACTATGTATCACTGAAATTGACAACAATGACTGGATACAGTTGTGAGAACACATCTTGGTGTCATGGAGGTTACAGTGCTCTCAAGGCATTGGTGGTATAGTGCTGAGAATAGCTGCTTCCCAAGCAGTTGATCTGGGTTTGATTCCAGGCCAATACATGCTATAATGAAACCATAAAAATTCACCAGCTGTAGGAGGTGGAGAAGCTGTGCTGAAGCTCCACAGTCATTTGTCACACCTTCCAACTCACATACAATGGTGCCATCTTGTGTTTAAACACAACCATTGACAGTAGATTATATTATTTACTAACACTTTCAAAAATGTTTTAAAGCCCGTGAAATATGGCTTGAATGTTTATTCATAACAATATGTAATAATGATAAAATGAACAACAGTAAATAACATCTTTAGGTATTATTGAGAGTTGAACACTCATAAACTAATCTGCTCAATCAGGGCTGTGTGGTTTGATCTGACTTACAGACACAAAACAGGTCAAACATCTGTCAATAAATTCTGATTCAAATGTTGCTGAATCCTGATTGATGCATGGAAGTATGTGGCATCACCCGAGGCTCAACCAACCAGGGAGAAGAGCACAGAGAAAATATGTAAATCTCTCATGTAAAATAACCAAACCTGATCCAAACACAATCCCATCACTCATAGAGAGAAGCTGATTGATAAAATATGTCTTCAGCATCTTTAATGTTTTTCATACACATTTTTTATATGTTCTCTTTTTTATTTTGTGAATACAATGCACTTCTGTTGTAATTTATATATATATCTGTATTTAGTGTTATTGAATTGGAAATTTAGCCCTCAATAATCAAACAACTGGACAGGTACTTGACTCAGTCTCCTAATTATTCATATGGTTTTCACTTGCTTAATAAATGGCATTAAAAAAATTAGAAACAAAGTTGATTAATAGGATAAACAACTATCGTCTTTAAAGTTTAATTATAATCTTTTCATTATCTCCTTGATGGAGAGTTGCTGGTGATCAAATAATAGGATTAATCAAACTTATTGGCGGAGTCTCTTTTACTGTCTGAGCTTTATTTTCTGTAGTTTCGGGCTAGAGGAGAAGGCTGACAGCGGACAGTGAAACAAACGAAAGTAAGACAGTGTTACACAGTTTACTGCTTTCATTACCCGATGGTGCAGTCCAGGTAAGCACTATATATCTCTAACGTTGGCTTTCACCGCAATACAACCTCATAGACAGGCTCAGAGTAAAAGGAGTCATATTTTATAATCTTGTATTTCCATGTGATTATGTCGATTGATGTTGCTGTGGTACAGGCGCATGAGGTTGCTTTCAGTTTGCATCTGGATAGAGATTAACGGAGGGTTTCACTTCTAAACTGTTTATTGTATGATACTATGTTGTAACTTTTAAAGTTTGTACTGTGAGGCGTTTTAGTTACTCTCTGAATATAGTAACGCTGGTTACTCGCAGCGTTAACTACAACCTTGATAGTTACTGTATTACAACTAGCTTTGAGTCGTGGGTAAAGCAAGAGGATAACTCTATCTGTGATACTTGATCCACTTTAATGTCCGCTTCAACAGTCGGACAACTGAACACTACCTTATATCATATCACTCCGCCAATCAGTGACATTACAGGTAACGAGCATCTTATGTAGTTCCTTATCTACATTGTAGAACAGAATACCGATATGTTTATATATGTAGTTGCCATTAATTAACTTGTGAAAATGTAATAAACACAATAAAGTAATCCACAAAATAAATCTCATCTTATAATGACGTTGTATTCAATTGTCTTCCTTTGAAGTTCCGCCTCCAACTCAGAGTCTCGCTGTGCAGCATTATGGGGGATGTATTTCTCCTATGAATGTCAGGTGTGTTGTTACCTGGAAAACAAGCTCAAGAGATATTGTTTATCATTATTACAAGATGCTTTTTTTTTTTAATGGACAGTGAACAGAAGGGAGGAGTCATAAAATCTGTATTAAGGATAAAATAAATCACATTGAGAGACAATCATTGGCAACATTGTGTGAAATGATGGAAAGGAAAATACTTGTAGGCTAATGAAGACACTGTATCAGTTTTAGCATCGCACATGAAAACATAAACAAGTTGGAAGAAAGATGGGAGATAAAGAAGATTCTAACCCCAGGAAAAGATGCCGAGATGAGATCACAAAGGCAGAAGAGGAGGAACAAACAAGTAACAGAGACGCAGATGTGGCTGAACAAGGTGTTGCAGATGTTTATAAAAAACAAATTAACATAAATAAAAGCAAAAGATGACCAACTCTATAAAGTAGCTTTTTGCTCAATAAGAGTAATTTGACCTTATACATCCATCACAACATACATCTGTAAGATGTTCATCCAAAGTAATGCCAACCTTTCTGAAACAGATTTTAGCTGAATGTATTACTGAATAAACACATTTCAACCCACAGCTACTAAGAAGCCCTGTGTGACCACTTCAGAAGGTCTGACAGACGATGCAGCTGAACAACATGAAACCAGTAATGTGGACAAACTGGGTGAAGAACAACTCACCAGGAAGGAAGAAGAAAATATCAGTGAAGAAGATGAGGGAGAGATGAGAAAAGATCAGGAGAAAGATGCACTCAGTGTTCAGGCTAGAGGAGAGCAGGGTGATGCAGAAAGTGTAAAGAAAGACACATCAGTCAGACAAACAATTAATGACAGACACATGAGCACGGACGAGGACTGTGAAAAACAGAATAAACTGATAAATAGTGAAGATGAAGAAGTACAGGAAACTCTGTTTATAAATGAGGACAGTACACATTCCAGCAGCACAGAAGAAAACACAAATGAGAAGTCTGAAGAGTTGAAGGAAACTAAAGTAGATGATGCTCCTGTAAATGTTGGAGAACAGGTGAAACACTCTAGTGAACAACATCTGGATGAAGAGACAAAGACAGAGAGGCAGAAACAAACAGGTAATAAGAAGAACATGCATGAATCTGTGTTTCTATAGCAACATACAAAAATGACCTTATTCATTGGCTCTATGTGATTTCTTTTGTACATTTAGATACATTATTATACACTACACAAACAATACTAAAGTATCTTTTACCAAGGATACATTAGTTGGGTTTGTATGTTGGCATATAGACTTTTTTCAGGGTGTAATTCATGAAAAGACTTTGTTCTTACTGATACTGACTCTGATACAGATGATTACTGAATATTTTACTTTATTTCTTCTTCAAATCCACAGAGTGTCAGAAACCTGCTGAAACCAGTTCAGAAGATCTGACAGACGAGGAGAAAGAAGAACAGGGTGGAGATATTGGTCTGGAAGAACTTAAAAGACACACATCAGTCAGAGAAAAAAGTCATGTCAGACACATGAGCACAGATGAGGACTGTGAAAAACAGAGTAAATTGATAAACAGTGGAGATAAAGAAACCCTGTTTAGAAATGAAGACAGTACACATTCCAGCAGCACAGAAGAAAACACAAATGAGAAGTCTGAAGAGTTGAAGGACACTAAAGTAGATGATGCTCCTGTAAATGTTGGAGAACAGAAACACTCCAGTAAAAAGACAAACACAGTGAAGCAGAAACAAACAGGTAATAAGAACATGAGGTCTAATATTTAATTCTTACTGATACTGATGCTGACAGATCAATGCTGAATATATAACTTTTCTGTCACATACCTGTTGAGACCAACCAGAACGGAGACGTACTCCGTTGTACTGATGTATGAATGCTTTCTTTAATGATTTACTTTAATGATTAGAGAGGCTTCTTTCAGTAATCAGAAATGTTCACATGCAAAACTTAGTTATAAACTTGACAGAACAGAGGAAAACATGCTTTATCAGGATGACTCTGCAAACAATTTCACTGTATGAAAGACGCTTCACCCTATTTCACCCACCAGCAATCCATCCACTATAAATCAGAATATTCATTTTTATGACCCTGTTTGCTACCATTGAATAATCTTTAATAATAAATAAATGGAGATGGTGTAATTACACTGTGTTTTTTCTTTCCTTTCAGTGATTCAGCCACAGAGAGTTCATTATGGTCTGTATAACCAGGGAGCCACATGTTACCTCAACAGTGTCCTGCAAGTTCTCTTCATGACTCCAGAAGTCCATGACAGGTTTGAAACAGCTGCTTTCATCTGTAGTTAATATAAGTACCAGGAGAATTTATATGTGACAAAAACATTGTGTAGAATATTAACAGGAAACACTGAATTGTAAAATGATTTAATTGGGTGTATATGGCTGACTTACAAAACTCCATCAGTGGACATATAAGCAGACAAACAGTAAACAGTAACTATTCACTGAAAAACTAATCTCTCCCTAAAGGTTTAATTCAGAATTAAAGACAGAGCTGAACCAAATCTTTTCTGGCCTGAAGAAAAGCACATGTGGAACAGAAAAAATCTCAAGGATTTTGAAGATTAAAAATGGTAAATTGGACAGAAAGTCACATATCAGTGGTCAATTAAAGATGCTTTGATGAAATTAATATATCAGATATGGTTGAATGTATTCTTTTGCAGTTCATGAGCAAGGTGATGCTGCTGAATGCCTGGAGTTGATTTTAAATAAGATCAGCCAACGAGACTCTAAGGTGAGTACTTATCAAATCTACAATGTTATTTACAGGAGAAGAAATCTGACTCCTGAGTCATAAGTGATATTTCTATTTTAAGGAAATACAAGGACATCTGATGTATACAACAAAATGCTCTGAAGGCCACATCATCAATAAAGAGACAAATCCATTCTGGACTCTTCCACTGTCTCTGAAAGATAACCACGATACAACCTACAGTGTGGTGAGCAGACAAAGCTCAGAGCTCTAGTTTAGTATTTTAATCTGGTCATGCTGCTCTAATATTATTATTACATTTGTGTTTTTACAGGAAAGAAGCTTTCAAAGGATTTTCCAGACAAAAATATTTAATGGACACAACAAAGTTCACTGTAACGAATGTAACAACGAAACAGAGGCAACAAAGGTGAGTTCTGAAAAACTGTAGGAAGTTCAAAGTTTATACTGGGATCCAATAAAAACACTGTATATTAATTTACCATACTGAGATTAAAGGATTTAGTGTTTGATAATGTTTCTTGTGTTATTTAGGAATGTGAGATGGAGAAATATCCTCCAATTTTGACAGTACTTCTGAAGAGATTTGACTTTGACTACAGGAGGATGTCACATTTCAAATCAGACTGCTGTGTGGATGTACCTCTTGAATTAAAGAGAAAGGTAACAATAATGAATGTTTTATATGTGATTTATGTTTCAATGGTGTTCCCTTTAAATGTTTTCCAAATATTTCCATGTACCTGACTGTGTTCTTCATCGTAGAATCAAACGTACAAACTGTATGGGATGGTGAACCACATGGGCAGTCTAACAGGTGGACATTACACAGCCACCATCCTGTCCAATGAGGACGAAACCTGGTATAAGTGTAATGATACTAACGTCTGGAAGGTAAGGTTACTTAATCTATTACATTATGATGGTACACATTTAAAACACACCAACAGAAATATCAAACATTAAACAGAAGTTAATTTACATTGTTTGGTCTGTTTCTGTTGAATGTTGCAGGTTGAACAGCTGTTTGAAAAAGGAACTTATGAGTATGTCTGTATTTGTAAATTAATTTTATCATTGATTTGGGATATATCACAATATATCCCAAATATATCACCTTTTTGTTGTTCTATTCAAATAATAACATCAGTTATTGTTCACCAGATCCAGGACTGTATATCTGCTCATGTACAGAGGTAGGCTCACAAAAATACACAAAGAAATCGTTTTTTAGGCTACGATTGTAATATTCATACAGCATTGCTGAATATATTCTTCTCTTCACTTGGAGTCTAACATGTCCTGTGAGACATGTAATGGATGATCTTAGACAAGATAACATGAAACAAAATATGCAATTAGGAGAAATGGATGCTAATAACAAAGAGAATAGAAAGATAAGACAGATATATCAGTTAGACAAAGTCATGACATGATCATGGAAATTGGTGAGAATATTGAAACAGCAGAGCACCATGGGGAGTCTGATACAGATGATTACTGAATATTTTACTTTATTTCTTCTTCAAATCCACAGAGTGTCAGAAACCTGCTGAAACCAGTTCAGAAGATCTGACAGACGAGGTGAAAGAAGAACAGGGTGAAGATATTGGTCTGGAATAACTTAAAGGAGAGGAAATTGAAAACAAAAATGTCAGCAAAAGAGATACTGTTGATGAAGACAACGCACTGATGGGACATAGTGAAGAAGATGAGGGACAGATGAGAAAAGATCAGGAGAAAGATACACTCAGTCTTTGGGCTAGAGGAGAGGAGGGTGATGAAGAAAGTGTAAAGAAAGACACATCAGTCAGAGAAACAAGTTATTGCAGAAACACGAACAGTGACGAGGACTGTGAAAAACAAAAATTGCCTAACCGTGAAGATGAAGAAGAAGGGTCTACTTATGATGGAAAAAGTGTGAACAAGTTGTACTGGATGAAGAGTTCAGGAGACCATGATGACAGTAATTGCTCTGCCGAGGAGAACGAGACACGCATTCAGGTTAATGAAGAGCAGGGTGAGACAGAAAGGGCTACCTCCTTTAATACTATCCGGAGTTTCTTCAGGCCATTTTTAAGCTATAAGCGCAGCTAAACTGCATAGACAAGAAATGCAGGTGAAATTTTTGGAAATCTATTCAGCCTTTTAATTAGCCCCATCAGTCAACACTGTAACGTAAAAACTATTAATTCTATTGTGAGGATTTGAGTGACTTTGACAAGGAGCTACATTGTGATGGTTCGACGACTGGGTCAGAGCATCTCTAAAACTGCAGCTCTTGTGGGATGTTTCCGGTCTGCAGAGGTCAGTACCTAAAAGTGCTCCAAGGAAGGAAAAGTGGCAAACCGGAGACAGGGCTCACTGATGCAAGTGGTGAGGTGATCATAATGTTATGGCTGATCGGTGTATGTGTATACTTGAGTATGTATATGTGTGCTTCAGCATTTATACCAAAAGCCAAAGTACTCTAGCTCAGCTCAATAAGCAGTAGTATGTGGTTATATGGGTCTGAGTGGCTGTATTTCTTACTTTGGTAGTTTTTAGTTCAACCATCAGCCTGTCAGGACATTCACAGTTTTCCTGATTGTGTTCCTGCTAAATACTCTGTTTATGACTTATGTAAATGTTTTGTAATATTCTGAACTCTTTAAATCTTGCCCCTGACATTTACCCCCTATATTATAATGAACACTGAAAACAATAAAAACTCAACTGAAACGACTCTTGAAACTGACTGAAAAAGAAAGCAGAAACTACAGACCAACCTGAGGCTGTTTGTGCTCCTCTATGGGAATCCCGGGTAAAAACCTTGTTTATATCTGATTTAACTGGAGGAAAACACCGACACAAACCACAGCATCCTGTCTCTCTCTCAGCTGTCATTTCACTTTCACTTTAATTGAAAGCATTGTCGTTTATTTGAATTTCTCCTACGGGGGTCAATAAAGAAACAGCTTATTCAATGTATTTCTGTTTTCCAGTGCTTGTATTATTGTAAAAAATATATATAATATGCAGAACCAGAGTAAATGTACTGAGATAGTTTTCATCAGATACATTGTAAATATGGAGAAGAGACAGTTTAATTTTTTGCAGCACTACTGATTATAGATGTACAATAATACCTTAAAATAGCTCAGATACAGAGGTGAGTATGTACAGCAACAACTCTATTGGTTTACACTGAAAATATAGATAGAAAAGCTGTATTCTGAATCAATATATTATGGACAAAACTGTCTTTAACCTCACTGAAACCTGGACAATGTATCACTGAAATTGACCACAATGACTGGATACAGTTGTGAGACCACATGTTGGGGTCATGGAGGATACAGTGCTCTCAAGGCATTGGTGGTATAGTGGTGAGTATGGCTGCTCCCCATGCAGTTGACCGGGGTTTGATTCCAGGCCAATGCATGAGCTTTACTCAAATCTTTAATCACCAGATATCTACTGACAGGCCATAATAACAAACATTTTCCACTGAAGCTCCACAGTCATTTGTCACACCTTTAAACTCACAGACAATGGTGCCATCTTGTGATTTAAACACAACCACTAACAGTGCAGATTATGTTCTTTAGTAACAATTTCAGAATGATTTTAAAGCTGTCAGCCTTCTCTGTAACTCCAGAAAATAAAGCTTAGACAATAAAAAAGACTCCCCTAATAAGTTTGATTGGTCCTATTATTTGATCATCATAGAAATATTTTTAAAATTAATCTTAAAAGTCTAATTTCAGTCCTCTATCAGTAAGTGTATCACTGTGTACTAAAAAGCTAAATGTCATTATTTGTGTATCTTGCCAGCAGCAACTGCAATGTTTTATAAAGTTTAATCTCAAATGAGGGACTTTCTGTGTTTCCTTATTAGTTATTGGACTTCAAACTTTCTTTCTCTAGTCCTTTGGAAATGAAATGACTTTGTTGACCTTTGACAGTGTGTAACATTCAGGAGGATCTATTGGCAGAAATAAAATATAATATTAATGGGTGTGTTTTCTTTAGTGGATAATCACCTGACAACCTCTGTGGCTGGCAAATGAAATAAACATGTTTACAGCTTGGTACAGTCTGTAAACATGTCTATTTCTGTTGTAAAGTTGGACATTTTAAAATTCAACAACAGTTTCGGTATCTAATAGCGAAATACTCTGTTTATGGCATCTGTAAGTTGTTATATAACTCACCTGAGCCCATTTTTTTCTTTCTTTTCTGAACTCTTTAAATCTTGCCCCTGACATTTACCCCCTATATTATAATGAACACTGAAAACAATAAAAACTCAACTGAAACGACTCTTGAAACTGACTGAAAAAGAAAGCAGAAACTACAGACCAACCTGAGGCTGTTTGTGCTCCTCTATGGGAATCCCGGGTAAAAACATTGTTTTTATCTAATTTAACTGGAGGAAAACACTGACACAAACCACAGCATCCTGTCTCTCTCTCAGCTGTCATTTCACTTTCACTTTATTTGAAAGCATTGTCGTTTATTTGAATTTCTCCTACAGGGGTCAATAAAGGAACATCTTATTGAATGTATTTCTGTTTTCCAGTGCTTGTATTTTTGTAAAAAAAAATATATAGTATGCAGAACCAGAGTAAATGTACTGAGATAGTTTTCATCAGATACATTGTAAATATGGAGAAGAGACAGTTTAATTCTTTGCAGCACCACTGATTATAGATGTACAATAATACCTTAAAATAGCTCAGATACAGAGGTGAGTATGTACAGCAACAACTCTATTGGTTTACACTGAAAATATAGATAGAAAAGCTGTATTCTGAATAAATATATTATGGACAAAACTGTCTTTAATCCCACTGAAACCTGGACAATGTATCACTGAAATTGACCACAATGACTGGATACAGTTGTGAGACCACATCTTGGGGTCATGGAGGATACAGTGCTCTCAAGGCATTGGTGGTATAGTGGTGAGCATAGCTGCTTCCCAAACAGTTGACCTGGGTTCTATTCCTGGCCAATGCATGAGCTCTAATAAAACCCAAAAAAATCACCAGCTGCAGGAGGTGGAGAATCACCTGTGAAGCTCCACAGTCATTTGTCTCACAGACAATGGTGCCATCTTGTGGTTTAAACACAACCATTGACAGTAGATTCAAAATTATTAGCCCCTGAAATCACTCAAATTGACCAGAATGACTGGATACAGTTGTGAGACCACATGCTAGGGTATATATGGCTTGAATATTTCTTTATAACAATATGTAATAATGAAGAAATGGGCAACAGTAAATAACATCTTTAGGTATTATTATTATTATTATTATTATTATTATTAAGAGTTGAACACTCACAAATCAATACATTCTGATTCAAATGTTGTTGAATCCTGATTGATGCATGGAAGTATGTGGCATCACCAGAGGCTCAACCAACCAGGGAGAAGAGCACAGAGAAAATATATAAATCTCTCATGTAAAATAACCAAACCTGATCCAAACACAATCCCATCACTCATAGAGAGAAGCTGATTGATAAAATATGTTTTCAAAGCCTTTGATGCTTTTCATACACATTTTTTTATATCTTCCCTTTTTTATTTTGGTGAATACAATGCACTTCTGTAGTAATTCATATCTGTCTAATTATTCATATGGTTTTCACATTGCTCAATAAAGAGCATTAAAAATTAAGTTGATTAACCCTCTATTGCATGAAATATTACTCTGACATGGTAAAAAATGTTTTGCATGTTTTTATTACTTAAAATGAGCTAAATAACAGATATATTAAAAAAAAATCTTAAAAAAAGTTTAAAGGGGGGTCGTTGGTAAATTGTTGCCCTATGGCAACAATATGCAATCGTGGAAAGTACCATAAAATCAACATTATTTACCAAAAAACTCATTTTATTTAAAACAAGACTCAACAAATCCATCTCATACTTAGTGAAATGTTTAAACAAACATTTATACATTAATAACATTATATAATTTCAACAGTTATCTGAAATGTCTGGTAATAATAACCCGGAACCTGGAACCTGTCTCACTGAAATACATCATTCATTCATTTCATTTCATTCAGTCATTTCTTGCTGTTTCATTTCATTTCATTCTCTTCATGCCTTGTGAAAGTCAACAAAGCAGTTCCTCTCTGCAGTGAAGCAAAGGAAAACTGCACACTTGGAGCACTTGCTTCTCACAATGCCCTTGCATCCTGGCATTTTGCATCTGCCCTTCTCAGATGCATGCAAGGGCCAGTGGTCGGTGCGGTCTCTGCGGACAGGATCTGGCGGGACAAAGCTTTGCGGCCCTCTTTTATTTTTCCCCACAACAACAGCTTGTGAAGGTCTCCCCTTCCTCTTGTTGCTCACCTTGTTCTCCATGCACAAGCATGAGGCCACTTGGATTTTGAAGTCCAACAGTGGGAGATGGGCAATCTCTGGCATCTGGGACTGGCAGTCTCTTCTGTGAAGCAGCCACGCCTCTACCAGGGTCATGTCAAGCATGTGGAATACAATGCGGTGGTACCATTTCTTGGACCGGATCTTGGTGCGATAGAGGGCGATCAAAGAATCCAAAAGATCCACTCCCCCCATGCTCTTGTTGTAGACTGCTACTACATTAGGGCGTGAGACACGGACCACCTCTTTTTTTTTTTTGTCCCATCTTAGGACTTGTGTGGTGGGGTTTGCTGCTACGAATGTGCTTAGGAGGGTCACAGGACGGTTGTCAAACCATTTGACAGCCCAGAGGTTCACACCATTGTGAGTGGTCATCTTCTCTTCATGTGTTCCCCGTCCTTTTGCTTTCATGGCACGATCATCCATAAATGTGCAGCCTGCAAGACGGCCCTGTCTCACAGTTCCGACACTATGGATCTTTTCCTTCTCCAGGAGTATCTGCAGGTCCACACTGCAGAACCAGTTGTCAAAAAACAACTTGTGTGAAATGTTGGTGGGGATAACTGAGGCCAACTTCAGCACAATGTTTCCGCTCGCACCAATGTCAGGGAATCCATGACAGGGTTGAATGGACCCTGTGTACACATCAAAGTTGTACACAATGCCATGTTGATCTTGTAGCCCCAGCGCTTTGGCTTCATAGGTATGTACTGCTTCAGTTGGCTCTTCCCCTTGAACGGCACCATCTGCTCATCAACACAGAGCATTTCATCCATGGGTATGCTCCTGTAGCTGTCATTGAGGAAGTTGAGGAGAGGTCTCACTTTGAACAGCTTATCGCCCCCTGGTACCTGGTTGTTGTTGTCAGCAAAGTGGAGATGTCTCTTGATATTTTCCCATCTATTTAAACTCATGGTGCTTGCAACCATCTCCACCCTTGTTTGTGGGTTCCAGTACAACCTGGTTTTTGGCAAGACATGGATAGACATGTGGAAGCACACTCCAATGAACTGCTCCATTTCTGCAACAGTAACATTGAGGGGTCTGGTGACATCACGCTGCAATGCATAGAGATTAGTTTGCCTGACAACTTCTTCCATTATTTCTCTGTGGAAAAGGTGGCGGAAGTAATCCACTGGTTCTGATACTCCAGATGGCTCCGGGAGGGAGCCTTTCCATTGTGGCACAGGTGGAATGTTTTTCTTTTTCTGCCACTTAAGGTTTTTCGCCTTATGGAACTCTAGTGTGTCATCCCTCCCTGCTTCATCTGTTGACACTAACAACACAAATCTGCATTTTAGATAACAACAATTGACAACTCCTACAAACATTCACACAACCATGCACATGCTCCTGAGGATGAACTATCTAGTACTTCTACCTGCTTCCTCTGGCTCTGGCTCTGGCTCTGTGTCTGTGTCTGTGTCTGACTCTGACTCTGACTCTGATTCTGATTCTGAGCTGCCCCTGCTCTCATCCAGGTTTACATCAACCTCGTTGTCTTCATCACTGTCCACCAGCTCATCCTCACTCTGCTCTAGCGGAACAGCTATTTCTTCCCTGTTCCCTTTCCCTCTCCCATAGAAGTAGCTGGGATGCATCTTTTATGGAGGAAATGGGATAATATGTTACAGATAACCTACAAAATACCTTAAATCACAAAATATAAAAAAAATTAATAATGTTTTTACCTTTAAAATATAAGCAAAAGTTGTAAACATAGTCTCAGAGTAGTTTCATGCTATGTAAGTCAATGGGACTCCATTAGGTTGAATGCACCAGGAGATTTCCATATTTGCATACAGTTGCCATATGGCAACAAATGCATTTTAGCATATTACAAAAAACTTATAAAATCAAAACTGAATTTAATGTTAAAAAATTAAAGTTTACTTACCCCAGATAGTGATTTAAATTTTTTATTTGATGAAAATGTTCCAAAATTCTGAATAAAAGGCAATCTTCGGGAGCCCCAGACAGTGATGTTTGGATGTCAATGTCCATGAGCAAAAAGGACTGGCAAACAGGATATCCTGGTCATGTGACCTCATAAATTGTATTTCCTTCAAAGTAAAAGCCCCCTTTTCACAACTAACTGCAAAAACATAGATTTTATATTACAGCTTTTTAGAAAATTAAGAGAAAGTAATTGTTGCCATATGGCAACGCTATGCAATAGAGGGTTAATAGGATAAACAACTATCATCTTTAAAGTTTAATTATAATCTTTTCATTATCTCCTTGATGGAGCGTTGCTGGTTGACATTTCTGAACCCACGCTCAGTGCTGACATAAAAAAAAGAGTTATTACTATAACAGGAAGTAAACTGTTTCTTGTGATACTTTGGCCCAGAATAGCTCACAGACCTCCCTGTAGCCACAGAGCATTACTGCTGAAATAGAAATAAGTTATTCAACCCGATAGTTTATATTTAATTATTTATTTTACATGAAAAACAACCACGTTATGTTAGCAAAATAAACAAATGATTAGTAAAAAAAAACTTGATAATGAAGCTGATGAAACAAATGTGAAAATAAAGACTGAATAAAGATATTAAAGATCCAAATGACTTCATGCTGCAACAATAAGATAATATTAAAGAATTTAAAGTAAAATCCAGCAAAACGATTCTTACAAAAACAGTATAAACAGTTTCAAACATTACAATAAATACATATTACAATTTTGAGTTTGAAGTAAAAACTGTGATTCTAAATGATTCTCATTAACATTGTCTGAAATACAAAAAAGATCTCATATGCTTTTAACTGTTATTGAAAGCTGGTGTGGGGCTGAGTTCCTGTCTGATAACAGTTGTGATTAATGATTAGTATTTGTATTTCACAGTTATAAATCAACAGAATTATGTCCTCTGCCACACAGGTATCGAGGTCTGTCTAGGTGCTACACCAGTAAAGCAAGGTCTGAAATGTAAGGATGCCTCTTCCTCATCACTCTCATCAATGAGCTCCTCACACTCTGCACTGAGCCTCAGGCACATTTCAGTAAGCTTCAGGCACACAAAACAGAACTCCACCTTACACCGGCAACAGACAATGTTTTTACATTGAGTCTTGTTATGCACCAGCAGCAAACCACAGGTGGGACAGGCACGGATGGAGGGACAGCCAGTGACACCCTTCACATCTTCAAAGACAATATCAGGACAGGTCTTCAGTATTTCCAGTGGGTTTTGACAGTCATCGTTTCCACAGCGGTCTGAACGTGGAGCCGGACCTTTCCATTTCTTCAAACACTGCCAGCAGAATATATAAGACCTTCTCCTGTTAGCTGTGCACACTGAGCATTTGACACTCAGATCACTGAGATCAGTTCTCACCACACGAGACTTGCAACCAGGACACTGTGAAGTGAAGTTGAAAACATAATGAGACATACAGGGCCATTATTGTAGCAAAGCTATTTACAATTTTACAAATGTTATCATAATCCGTCTGTGCGTTGTCAGATTTGCAAAAAGAATCTCTAAATGCGTACTGAGATTTATGAATGTGAACGGAAACCTGCATCAAAAATCTCAAGTCTTTATTCAGATTTGCAAGTGCATTGAGATTTGTAAGGGGTAGGCAATTCTGTAAAATCATATATAGATATCAATGGCTGAAAAGTCTTTTGTAAATAGAGTGATACTTACTTCTTTGACGTCCAAGTAATCCTTGGCAGCATTATTGAATATTTTCTTCTCAAAGTACTCCAGTTCTTCAGGGCTTAGAAGAGCCATTTTACAAACCTCCTCAAAGGGCCACTCAACATTACAGTCAGTCTGTCCACACACAAATCTGCACTCACCCTTAGATATTAAAGAGAAAATCAAAGAAAAGACTGCAAACATATTGAGCAAATCAGCAACAATCAACCTGCTACTGCTAATATGATTCACATCAGCTGAAGTTACATTCTCTCTTCTGTTCACTATAGAAATATTATATTGTTACACTTGCTCCTGTTTTTTGTCAGTGAAGTTTAGTCACTAAAAAGTCTTAGAATTTCATGCTGAAGGTGATATTTAAACAACATACCTGGTCCAACAACCAGCGACACCAGTCGGTGAGAGACATAGGAGTGACAGCATGACCACAGGACATCTTTGCTTGGGGACCCGGGTACTCATTACACAGAACTGTGAGACACACAAACAAGAGAAGAGTTTTCTTGGATTGGGACAACTGGCCATTTCAGACAGTTAAGATTAAATACACAATATAACTTAAAGCCAATGCAAGCATTAATTATAACGGCATCTGATAAACTAAGGCACTGGTACTTTCTTCCCCTCAAGAATTAGTGAGAAATATAGTTGCTTGTCTCATTCCCAGGTTCCCAAAGCCTCTGTATTTAACCCAGGGAGTGAGACTCAATCAACTATCTTTCTTGGCTCTGATTGGTTGTTGTTCTACCATTAGGAGCACCAGGAGGAGCCAGAGGAACCTGCTCTAGTTACAGATTATCTGTCTCATGTACTACTGTCAGTATTAGTGCTTATTTTTATAAAATATATAAATTACCTACTGCAGCTTTAATCCTCACAAAAAAATAAAATGTGTAATTGTGTATTAAAATGACTGAATGAGAAATCAACTTTATAAACTAATATAACTAAACAAATATAATGTTTCTTAAACAAGGTCTATTTATCAGATAAACTTGCTAAACTAAGTTAGTAGCTACTTTAAAATGATTCCCACACCAACAGAAGCTGTAAAGCTCTTCATCACTGTTAAGGAAGGTGTTTCATTTAATGGTCATGTGAACACAATAACAACAATCACCCTATAATTAACAACCTGACAGTAATTGACTCTCTACTTACAATCTAAATCATCCTCTTCGTCTACAAATGTAAACGTGGGGTCTAGAGGATCGTAACATTTCTCCTGTACGGTTCTCGAGCTGCTGCTTTCTTCCTCAGAGCTGCACTCATCTTCTTCATCCACGAATCTGCCCCTCAGTCCTTTGAAGCCCTCTCCATGAGCCGACACTCTGCGCCCTTCAGACTCACTCTGATGTCTCCTCTTGCGTTTGGTGGACAGTTTGCTCCCCATATTCACTCTCTCACCAATGAAACAATGACTGATCTGACCGGTCTTTAAGGTTTCTATCAGGTAGGATTGGCCTATTCGTCTTTCCCGTAAAGTCACGTGATCTGAAGTTTCCCAAGGTGACGTAAATCTTTTTTTCTTTATTTTATTTCTGTACAAAATGTGATGTCAGTTTACTTCAGGGTCATTTTGAGCTGAACAAACACACCTGAGGACTCCACACAGTCACTGCAGGTAAAATGAAAATCCAGGTGAAGGTAAATGGACCCAGAGGAGAGGAGAAGGTCATCGATCTGTGCGACAGTGAAGAGCAGCTGAAGAGGTTCACTGTAATGCAACTGAAGGAGAAAATTACTAAAGAACTCGTGATAGGTACGTTTACTCTTCTTTATTGTGTATAGTTCATATATAAAATATACTTTGTATCATTAAAATGAACTGAAATTGAACGTAAATATCCGCAAGCAGCTGCTGGTTGACAGGGTTGGGAGGTTGCTTTAAAAATGTAATCCGATACAGTTACTCATTACCTGGTAAAAAAAAAAAAAAAAGTAGTCAGTAGTATCTAAGTACCACAATATTAACATAACGATTACTTTTCCGTTGATTTTGGATTACCTCAATCTCATTACCTCAGTATGCAGCTAAATTGTATTTTAAAATCATAGTCCTGCTAAATAATCCCCATTTTTACTAAATGTAAATGTAATCTGATAACTATTACATATTCTTTCTTCAACTGTAATAGATTAAAGTTACTTGTTTGTATCGTGATTATGTAAGTCAGTTACTTGTGCTCTGTTAGTCTCCAACCCTGCTGGTTGATCCAGACAACAAATAGCCTACAAATATGGTAAACAGCCTTAATGTTAAAGGGTTTTAACTTAACACAGTCAAACCGATTAAGGTTGCTTTTAAACTAGTCAGAGAGCCCTCATTGATTAAATTAGGCATTACGAAGACTGGGTGTTTATGAGGAAAAAGTCATTATGATTTTGCTCCAAATCATCTTGAACATAACTTTGACGATATCTCCTGAAGTCTCAGCCTCTTTATTCTCCTCAGGGGAAGACATTCGGATGGTCTTCAGGACCGAGCAGCTGCAGGAATCATCCCTGCTGTTGTCCTATGGGATTAAACACTTGTCCACCATCCACACACTGCTGATGCTGCCTGGAGGCATCTGATGTGGACCAGACGCAGAAGAAAAGATCACAGACTGTAAACCACCTCAACTGGACTAATAATATATTATGAGCTCAAAAACAAGCATTTGTAAAAACAAATAAAATGTAAATGAAATTATTAAATTAATACATTATAGTTAAATTAAAATGTAAATTATAATGTATAATAATATTATACATATATGTTTAATAATAATAATTTCTTTCTTTTCATTGAGTTTGCTGAATAAAATTGCAGAGAGAGTCTGTCAAACCTAAACGACTGTAAACCTGTTTGGTCTGAGGGAAATTTGGGGATTTTTGTTATGCTACCAGTTATTTCCTTTGACATTGTAAGGGGAACTTGTGCTTCATTATCAGGCTGTTTTTTGTATTTTTCTTCTACTCTTCCTTTAGCCACCAAATCAGTGCTTTCATTACAACTGGGTGTGTCGATCAATGATGATTATCACAGGTAGCTTTTACCGGTATAGGCGTTTGTAAGAGGGATGAGGGTTTTCCCTGCACGGATGCCTATAAATAGGTACCAATCATAGGCCAATCTCAAAATGACACTGCCAATAAAATAAGTATATTTGTGAGACAATACTTAAGCTAATGTTATGAATTAAATTGGATTCTTCTGTTTAATTTTTATCTTCCATGTGTTGAACCATATTGATGAAATTCTGACATAATTAAGTATCCATACCATTGTTTGATTGAAATTAAAAGATTAAAAACACTGTGAAATTGACAGTAAGGTCTATCTGTGTAATATCTTATGGACATTTCCTTCAACCTATAGGAGCACCAAGGGCTCAGCCTTGGTGCATGACATGCATCTACCGGGTGAGCTATCCGGGCGCCCCCAACATTAGTTATTTAGTCATATGTCCAAAACTATTGCACTTACTGATTTAAGAAGCACAGATTTTTAATCATCTGTTCAGATGATACACAAGATAATTACACTACAAAAACAAAACCAAATTTGCAGATAGAGCTTTTAGGCTACAAGTCCAAAATTAAGGAAAGTTGAAATAAATAGACAAAATCATGTAACACTCCATAATGCTTGTTAGGTGTGGGTTCGCTCACTCACAATGGGAAGAAATATCAGGGTGAACGTGGATAGCTGTTTTAGCCAGTTCTGTTATCAACACATCTTCAGACTCACCATTTCAAATGTGACTGAACTAAACAATGAAACACTTTGAGAACCTTACACTTATTTACTTCTGCTTTAAGGTTGCGACTTGCAGATTGTCTTCAGAACCGAGATCCTGGAGGAAGAGACCACCCTGGAATCCTTTGGGATCCGGCACATATCTACAGTTTATACACTGCTGAAACTGCCTGGAGGCATCTGATGAAGAAAATCCCCACAGGCTCAATGAAACCAATGACACTGTTAAAACAATTCACTTCCAAAATCATAGAGAAATAAAGACATGTGTCCCAAACTCAGTCTACTGTGTGTTGTTATTATAACATTGTAAACAATCACCAATGCAAATATCTAAGACTGAGACCATGGTGAAGTTAGTTTTATGTTGGATATTCAACAGATATTCACTCCGGATCCAGCGACGTCTTTGGTTTCATCAATAAATTACTACAGAAATCAGAAATATTTAAATTTCTTCTTTAAATAGCTTCCTCTTCTTGTCATGTGTCTCCAGAAACTCCAACTCAATGGCAAATTATATTACTACACCACACAACAAGAACACACCTATTTTAATCAATTTTTAATGTATTTGTAAATACTTCTATTTGTTGTATTTAACTGCCTCTTCTATTTTATTTTAATCTTTTTTATATATATATATATTTCCTGTCATGTGACCAGTTCACAAGTCTTTTTGGAGCCTTTCTTGGTATGGGAATCTCACCGCAATATTGGTCTAACATTGTTAAGGTATAGCCAGCCAAATAATCAGCACACACCATCTTTCTCTAGCAGACATGGAATTTATGGAAAAGAAAATCAAGGTGTTTCCATATAAATATTGTATTGTATTGTATTGTATTAATATAAAATACAAGGAGCATAGAACATTTTTAAAAAGATGTAGTAAATAATTCGGCCTTGATTTGGAGTCACTGGGTCATGGCATGGAAACTATTCCATGCCACTATAAAAGCATATACATTTTAATATAAAATACAACAAGACTTAAGAATTGATTAAAAGATGTGTATCTTGGTTGTGTGGTGTAGTAATATAATCTGTCATTGATTTGATTTGATGTGTCCCTGGGTCACATGACATGGAGTCCATTGAAAAAAGAAATCCAGATTTCTACATATAAATATTAATATGACAGCATTAAAAGATGTTTGAATCCATAAGTGTTAAGGGCTTCTGTATTTAACTAACCTTTATCCAGCCTGCTTTAAAATTGATTAGGACTTAATCATTAACTTATGGTTCACAAGCTCTTAGTTACTCATGCTGTAAAGTGTTAGGCTACCAGTTTCATTATGAACAGTGCAGTAGTGTGGAATAAGACCAGTGAGACACTTCCCATTTTAAAAGTCACAAATATTACACGTATCTTAATCCACAAGAAGAGGTAACAAGCAAATTGTAACATGCACAAAGAGCATTTGTTTCAACCAGACAATATCAACAAACTTACGTAAATGAAACATTAAAAGGAAGTTTTTTCTTGCTGCTGTCACCAAGTGTTTGCTCATGGTGGGAACTTATGGGTTTCTGTAAATCATTTTATAAGGAGAAAGGTCTAGACCTTCTGTATTTGAAAAGTGTCCTGATTTAACTCTGTTATGAATTGGCACTATACAACTAAAATCTAATCTTATGCATTTGGTTTATGTGTGCAGTATGTCCTGGTCCACTCTCATGAATCTTATGTAGTGTTTCATATATTGTTATCTCGAGAATTGTATTGTAGCCACTACTAACAAGGAATATTTACACGTCAACTTGCAGGAGAAAGGATTACTCTGGACAATGAATATAACATTTTTCTTCTTTTATTGTGGAAAAGTGTGTAATGTTACAGTCTGGACACTCTCACCCCAGTACAGAAGACACCAGAGCTGGCGAGTGATCACTATAACAGCAACATGTACAAAGCAGAACTAGCAACTAGCTCCCACCTACAGAGTTCTGTTAACAAGGTATCATTACCATAACACATTATCATTTATACTGTCATAAACTCAACATGACAGGCATTCTAAATAACATGATTTAGTTGTCTCAACATGACCAAATATCATGGAGCACAGGGACAATAATAATATTTTTTTCATCCCTTAACAGTTGTCCTTATTGGTGGTCTTTGGTTGTTTCCATCTGATTCAGAAGTAGGCACCTCCTCCTGGTGCGGCCTGCCTGTGAACTGCGACCTGACGCTTACCTCTTCTCCCTTGCTGCCTGGGTGGATCCAGCCCAGGTACATTGAGTCCATTGTCAATGATGTGATCAGTAGACACAGATTGTGGTGCAATGCAGGGTTGCTCAGGTGGGGTGGGTGGCTCCTGTCCCTGTGAAAGGATTGGCTTCAGTCATGATGGATGACTTTCTTTGCGTTGAGTGAGGATCTTATATAGTACAGGGCCACAGTGGGCCTTGACCATACATGGGCCAGGGGGCTTGTAACTTGGGGCTGAAGCCTTTCTTTTTATATAGATTAGGTCCCCAACATTGTAGCTGTGCTGCTGAGCTCGTAAGTCATCAGTCCTCTTCTGTCAAGACTCCAAGAGTACTGAGCTATGTCATGGACCTCACCAAGACTCTTTTCAAGGTCATGCACATACTCCGCAGGTTCCTTTTCACCTTGTTTCCATTCTGCTCTTGGAGATCTGAAAGAGCTTGGAAATGTTCTTGAACAGCGCAGCTCCAGTGAGATGTGTGAGATGAAGTCGTCGACGTCTTAGCCATTGTTTCTACTCCATGGTCTGGGATGGGGAATGCCTCCACCTACCTGGTAAACGGATCCATGATGACCAGGATGCACTTGTTTCCAGAGGATGAGATGGGAAATGGTCCCAATACATCAAGATGGTCCATAGGTGCTCCGACCTAATAAGTTTGCAGCTTGGCTATTTGGGTGGGACTGCTTGATTTCTGGGCTTTGAACTGAGGGTATCTTTGAATGTATTTGTGAAGATCACCCCCCATGCTGTACCAATAATAACTCTAAGATGAAGTACTTTCTTACTGCTGTGCTTCCCATTGCTACTTGCTCCTTGGTTAGGAGGATTCCTGATTCTTTCCAGCCATGCAAGATGGAAAGTACTGGGTCATCTCTTTGGACTGTCACTAACTGCTGGCAGCTTAGTGGTTGCAGCCAGTTTACTGTGGAAGTGTGGAGATCGGCTTCGCCGTCTGCTGCCTTTCTGTGTTGTTCTCAGCCTCCTGTACTGTGATCTGCCTGATGATCAGAGGCACAACATCATTCTCCATCTGAATTCTGAAATCTTAACGGTCAGGGACTTGTTTTAGCATTTTGCATAGAAACAGCGAGCAAGAGAGACGTTATCTGTTGGATATCTTACAAGCACAGAGCAGGTAAAGCAACAGTTTCATTTTCGATAGGCAAAGTCATTAACAAGTTTCCTTCAAACGTCGGTCATCCACCCCTTGGAACCATGGAGGCGTCTGTTGAACTGGTTGACTTACTGGTCTGGCAGTCCCAGTGTTGATCTTGTGGGTGACAGCAGAGAGATGGCTATGGTTTGTATCACTGGCTGAAACATTGACATTCCAGACATTCTGCTTTCAACTCCAGCATTGTGGAGAGAGATCTTGTTGAGAGCTTACTGTGCTTCTGTTGGAAGCATGTTGTAAACCTCATCTTCAGATATCACAGTAGCTTCTCCATCTGAATAGTTAGGCCATTCACTGTTATTTCAATTTGCAAGCTCTCTTGGTCGTGCGTCCTAACTGCAGGGTGGGAAGTTGGTTCTCCTTGCTCATAAGTCTCCTGAAAGATTCTGGCTTACTTCTTCTTGTAATCATTTAAAAAAGCCTTCAGTATCTAGCTGGTCCTGCAGTAATAGGTCTGTTCCAACATAAGCCAAGCTCACAAGGCACCTCCTCAGCAGATTCTTTACCCTGATGCAGCTCTCTCAACTTAACTCCAAACCATTGTGTAAGTTGTTCTTACAGGAGGGTATAGTCTTCATTGATGTGTTCTGGCAAGAAGCAGACATAGCGAATAGCTAACTCCACAAAGGCACTCACACTCCATACTTGCATGCCTGGCGCTTGAAAGGCAACCGAAATAAGTCCCAGTCCTCTTTGCCATCATACATCGCTAGCTTGACTGTGGAAGCTTCATATCTCCTGTGGCTCAAGGTGTGGACTAAAGGTGTTTTTTAGCCTAAAAAGATACACCTGTATAAGGTCCAACAGCTATTAAATAATTTCCCTGTAAACCCGGGGAAGGACAAGCTACCATTAAATTAATTAGGTATTTAGAGTTAGTTAGAAACATGTCAAGTTAGAAGCCTGTCAATATACAGTAAGGGTTAGCCAGCCTAACTGTGTTAGCATTAGCATTACGTGAGTAAGTGAGACTATGGTCATGCTTAGCTAACTTATATAGTAGTTTTGGTGTTTTGTAACCAGCTCTTAAGTTGGTTACAGAAGTGTAGAATTGCCAATAAAATTTAAAATCATCAGTATATATTTAGTTACTTTCAGCAGAATAGTTGCTCGTATTGAGGGTCCTCCAAAAAGCGTTTTGAAGCTTTTGAGGCAAGACTCGTTCACTGCTTATAACGTTCT